TATATATATATATATATATGCATATATATATATATGCATGTATATATCATGGCTTCTCAGAAAAACCCGCTGCGGCTGCTCAGAAGCATCTTTGCCCGTAATACTCGAGGAAGGAGTAAACACGCAGTGAAATACATCTGCACAGCATATGCATACACACTTCATCACTTATATATAAAGATATATATACATATGATACTAATTAGTATCTGTATATTAGAGAAGAGAAGATATTCCGATGTTACGTTGAATTATATTTGCCTATTAACTTTTCTGTACTTAGGGTGTACGTACACCTCGCAAAATGCGGTGAAGTTTGCCGAGTTTGTCTCCACGTACACCCCAGAAGGTGCGCTTCCTCCGTAGCATTAGCAGCCAACAGGCTAAAGAACAGCAGCAGCAGCGGTAGCTAAGGCAAAACGCCGCTGCTGCTGCTGATGCAACAACCTGCTGCTGCTGCAGCCACATGCTGCTGCAGCTACATGCTGCTGCAGCTACATGCTGCTGCAGCTACATGCTGCTGCAGCTACATGCTGCTGCAGCTACATGCTGCTTACGGCTATCGCTGTAGCTGCCGCTATCCGTTGTTCTGCTGCTGGAAGCCGCAGCTATTTGCTGCTGCTGCTGCTGCATGCACAGTGCCGCCGGTGCCTGAAGAGTGTACTCAACGATAAAGCACCTTCAGCAAAACCCTCCCGCCTCCTAAAGAATCAATATGTATGTATGGATGTAAACAACGCGTAGCTGCAGCACCATGTAGAGCCACACATGCTGCTGTACGTACACTATATATATATATATATATATATTGCGAATTGTAGGCATTTTAAAAGAAGAAGAACAGCAAGTAGATGCTCTTCCTCTTGTTCTTCTTTTGCAGAAGCAGAACAGCAGCAAAATGTCTTCGTTCTTTTCTCCACGAGGCGAAGCAGATTATCAAAAAGACGCTCCTCTGCGTTTGTAGGGAAAAAGCAAGAAGAAAGAAGAGAGAAGAAGGAAGAAAGAGGAGAAAAAAGCAGAATAATAATAATATAGGAATAAGAAGAATAATACGAAGAAAAGGAAGAAAAAGAAGAAAAAAGAATAAAAAGAGTATCCCAAAGCTGCACTTAAGCGCCACCAGGGAGATCATCTCCTTTAATGCATATTTCATCCATGGCGTCTTTTTCAATAGTAACGATGCGGATGAGTCCGCCAGAGCTGCCGTCTCTTCTGATTGCATGCGCAACAGCCTTTGCTACGAGTTGTGTGGCTTCTTCTTTACTCATATTAGGCCTAAAATGTTCATCTAGAAAAGCAGTAATAAAGACAGACCCAGAGCCGCCTGCGGTGTACTGTACAGGGATGCAGCTGCCGCCTATGGGGATAGAGAAGGCCTGGGGCCCCTCTACAGGGTCCCACCCAGCCACTATAAGGCCCGCTGTAAGTACGTCTTTATATTCGTAAGACAGCTGCTGCAGCAGATGAGCAGCAACACGCACACGAGCAGCACCTTTGAAGTGTCTAGGCAGCTCCTGTGAGTACAGCTGCAGCTGCAGCCGTGCTACCTGCGCCAGTGCTTGTGTATCTGCTGCACTCCCGCTGCGGCATACGCAAATCCGCTCCCCCAGACGCGTTATCTTTCGCGCTGCTCTATTAACAACATAAGGCCCTGCTGAAGTACGTGAGTCTGCACCCAGAACGACGCCTCCAGCATAGCAGCAAGCTACGATTGTTGTCCCCGTCTTCACGCCCGCGCTGGCCTCGGCTCCCCCTAAGGCTGCTGCAGGCCCGAAAGAACCCCCGAGGGCTGCTGCTGCTCCTGCTGCTGCTCCTGCTGCTGCTCCTGCAGAGCCAGACAGCGACCCTGCTGCCAAGCGAGGCAGCCCGTCGCTGTCCAACAGCACCTGAGTCATTATTGCTACGGGGGCTCACGGGTCTACGGGAAGCAGCGCCGCTCCTGAAGGAAGAAGGAGCAGAAATAAAGGGATAGAACAAACAAGTAAATAATTATTTACTCCAGAAGCACCTTAAGCGAAGACAAAACATAAAACACACAACGCCATTCGCTGCAGCACAAAAAGGCATGCAGCCGAAACGTAGCAGCAGCGCAGCAGCAGCAGCAGCGGCAGCAGTGTGCAGCAGCGCCCAGCGCTGCAATACGCAGCAATCAAATATTATATTCAAGATTTTTATTATTTATTAATTCGTTCTTAGTTTATTTTTATCGTTTCCGTCGCTATGGACTGCCACTTACGGCGGCATAACCCCACAAACACCGTTCAGGCCGCCGCTTGCGGTTATATATAGTATATATGTATATATACATCTGAGGAGAGGAGAGTTAGCTGCTGCTTCCCTGGTATGTCTGGAGTAAAGAAAAGCAATTATTATTATTTAAATTTAATTATTATTTAAATTTAATTATTATTTACTTCTACTTTATACTCAGCTCCCCATTGGTAACGCACACAACCTCCAGGGCTTCTAACGTCTATCGGCTGCAGTAGGCGAGAGCATGCTAAGAATACTGCGTGAATGAGTTTAAAAATATGCCTTTATATTTAAAAAGGGAAAGCCTTTTCAAACAATGTTAACAAAAAGACTAGTATCAGCACAAAGATGAGGGCGCCGTTAAGCCACCGCGCTGCTCCCCACCGCCCCCCTTAGTCCTTAACTGCGCATTCGTATGTTCTGCGATGTACGCGCATACACTCGAATTCATCCGTCTTTCTCTGCCTTGCATGCAGCCATAGACTGCTCCTAGTGATTGAAACACTTGAGTGTACGCCTAAGCCGTCTGTACACCGCACTCAGCTCGCCGCTGCAGTCTGCGTACACCCCAACCGTCTGCTGTCTACGGGCATATCCGCAGCCGGACCTGCCTACAGTCAGCTGCAGCTAGCCACGGCTAGCTCTAGCTAGCTGTATCTATCTACAGCTAGATGTAGATAGCTACAGCTGGAGGGAGCAATGGCTGCCGCCACACACAGAAAAACAGCCGCGTAAGGCGTCGACTGCTGTGGGGTTTGCCCGCCTTTTACTGCGCAAACCAACTCTGTGCTGCTGCACTACTCAGTGCGAACAGCACACGCATCTCCTCCGCATATATATATATATATATATATATATATATATAAGACTACATACATAGGTATGCATATTTGGATAGTAGAATGCACACACACCTATGTATACATGAATATGCACATACATGCATACATGCATGCATACATATATATAGCATATTCAGTTTGCATCTATACAGTGGCACACACAAACAAAGATGTGTTTGCAGATGGGTTGAAGAGCCCTGAGGACAGCGCGGGATGTCCGCTGTCTGTCTCCGTTGGCATTTTCGGTCTTCTTTCCTCTTTTGCTTTTCTTTTCTTTTTTTATTTCTTTCCTTTTCTTGCTCTTCTTCTCCCTTGTCTTCACCTAAAACAAGTCAACCCCAAAAGGCCCCTGCGCCCAACGGGGAGATGAACACAGGCACAGGCACACCGCCATTGCTGCTGCTCTTGCTGCTGCTGCACTTGCAGCAACAGACGTTGCTGCTGGCGCTCCATTCCCACTGCCGCTGCTGCTCCTGGCGCTGCATTCCCGCTGCTGCTGCTGCTACTCCTTCAACTCGTCAGAGAGAGCAGCGAGCTTAGGGAAGTATACGGCAAGACGAACAGCAGGAACATCAGCACAACAGCGGCAGCAAGCAATAACGATTGCTGCAGCACACGCACACAAATGCAGCCATAATTCCATTTACTCCTCGGCAACAGCAGCATAGGCTTGCCGGTGCAGGTGCTGCTGTAGCAGTAGCTGCTGCTACTGCTGCACCTGGTCGTATGGCAGCTGTAGCAGCAGCAGAGAGCAGGAAGCCCAGCACGAACGGCACGTGCAGCAGCAGCAAGTGGAGCAGCAACAGCCGCAGCAGCAGGGACGGGCAGCAGCAACAGCAGCAGCAGCAGGTTACTTTAATGGACTGCTTGCGGTATTTGTGCGCGAGCAGCAAATCGGTGCAAGCTGCAGCTGTAAGCTTCTCCGTATGCGTCGTGACAGTAGCAAGCTGCTGCTGCTGTTGTTGTCTCTTCTGCTGCTGTTGCTGCAGCAACGTTGCCAGCTGCTGCAGCTCCCTCAGTTCTGCATGCAAGAGCAAACGCAGCAGCAAAATAAACGCACGCCAATAGCAACGTCGGCAGCAGCAGCAGCAGCAGTGAGGCAACAGCAAACGACCCCCCAAACAGAGCTGCAACAGCTGCACCTGCGGCACTAGAGGGGGCCGTAGCAGCAGCAGCTGCAGCTGCTGCTACTGCTGCGGCTTCTGCTGCAACTACTTACTGTTTTCTAGCTTGAGGAGTTTGTTTCGCTTCTCTGACAGCTGGGCCCCTACAAGACCCTGCGCACGCACCGCACACAGCAGCAGAAAACAAATTTCGGTGTTGCTGCTATCGGCGGTTGCTGCTGCTGCTGCAGCTGCTGTCTCGGTTCTTTTACCACCCCGCTCTCCTCTCCGCTTTTTCTGTATTCCTGCAGCAGTAGCAGCAGCAGCACGTGCTGCTGCCGCCTCTACTGTTGCTGCTACTAGAGGTGAGCTGGCTGTTACTGCTGTAGCTGAGGTTATTGCTACAGCTGCTGCAGCTACGGTTATCGCTGCTGCTGCTGCTTCTGCTGCTGCTTCTACTGCTGCTGCTACTGCTGCTGCTGCCTAGGCCTACACTTGTTATATGCCCTGTCCATGGGGAGGCAGACAAAGGCGCCAGCAGACCGCTCAGCTGCTCCGTAGCAGCACCCGGAAATGCTGCAGCACAAAAACAAAAGAACCACCCCCCTCTTCAGCTCACGCTGCAGCAGCTGCAGCAGCAGCACATGCAGCAACAGCAGCACCAGCATGAGCACCTACACCACCAGCAGCAAGAGAAGCAAACAGCAGCAGCACCAGCAGCAGCAGCAAGGGCTACAGCACCAGCAGCAAGAGAAACAAACAAGAGCAGCAGCACCAGCAGCAAGAGAAGCAAATAGCAGCAGCAACAGCAGCAGGATTCACGGCAGAGGCGCGACTGACAGCCTCTTATTTGGTCTGCTGCTTCAAGCAGCCACCGCGCATTTGCTTCCTGCTGCAGTTGCTGCTGCAGTTGCAGCGCCTCTTGGAAGTCGGCAAACTGGTGCTTCAGCACGCTGCGGCGGATGCGGAGTTCTGCTGCTGCTGCTGCGAGCTGTTGCTGGTGCTGCTGCTGCTGCCAATGTGGCAACAGAGCCGACAGCCCGTCCTGCTGCTCCTCCTGCTGCTGCTGCTGCTGCAGCTGGGCCTCTGCAGCTAGCAAGTCTTCCTGCCGCTCCTGCAGCTGCGAGCTAGCTTGCTGAAGCAGCTGCTGCAGCATCTCGATCTGGAGCAGCACCACGCATCCACTCTGTTGCTGCTGCTCTTGCTGCTGCGGGTTTGCTGCTGCTGCTGAGCACCAGCAGCACGGGGCTTCCATATCCGGGGGAGCGATATGTGGGTGCAGCAGCAGCAGCTGCAGCGTCTGCTGCTGCATCTCCATCGTGCGCGTCAGCGACATCTTGAGGGCCTTTGAAGTTCTTAGAAACTGCACTAAAGGAGACACCCCATTGCCGATGCCGCTGCTGCTGCTGCTATGCTCCTGAGCAGCAGCAGCAGCATCAGCTGTGGCAGCAGAGGGCGGCAGCAAGAGGCTGTCTGGTGCTTCTGTGTCCTTCTCCTGCCCCTCAAAGGATGAGCTGGGAGACAAGTGGTGCACCTCTACAACAGTGCTGCCGTTTGCAAAAGGACCAGCAGCAGCAGCTGCTGCTGCTGCTGCTACCTGTTGGCGGCCCCACAAGGGGGCCCCCGTCAGCAGCGGAGAAGCAGGCCCTTGCCAGAAGCTCTCAGAAGGCGCCGTTGACTCGCACACCGCCTCCTCCTCACTGGGGCTGAAGCTGCTGACGCTTCGGGGGCCCTTAGGGACTCCATAGCCGCGCAGGGCCCCCTCAAGGGCCCCCGTGGAGGGGAGGCCGCCCTGGGGGGGCCCCCAGGGAAAGGCCGCTTCGAAAGGCCCCTCCAGCTTCGGGCGCCAAAGTGAATCTGGAGAAGGAGACAGCGCCGGCTTGTGGGGGGCCCCCCCGCATTGCGCAGGGTTCGGCTGGGGGGCCCCCAAGGGGGGCCCCCCATGGTCCTCTAAGAGGGGCCCCTGAGGGAGCCACTCCCCGCTCATGGCTTCTAGCTACGCCGCAGTACTTGCAGCCGCTGCTGATATGTTGCTCTTGTCGCTGCTGCTCTGCTGCTGCTGCTGCTGCTGTGCTGCTGCTGCTGCTGCTATTCAGCAGCCAGCAAGCAACAGCAGTCCCCGTACGAAATGCTCTCACCTCGGGCCCCCGGCGGAGGGGAGGGGCGCTCTGGGTGAAGATTAGAGTTAATTAATAATAAATAAAAAAGAAACAAAAACATATAGAGGACAGAGACGCCTCCAGACAAAGGCAGACGCAGGAGTGCCAACAGACAGGCCGCCGCTGCTCTTGCTGCTGCTGCTGTAGCTGCTGCTGCGGCTGCTGCTGCTGCTGATGCTGCTATCGCTATTAAGACGGTTACGAGCTGGTAAAGAAGAAATATAATTTATTAATAATTATATTTAAAAGACAAACACCAGCACACTGCACACGGCCGACGTCCCCTTGCTCGCCTGGCCCCTCATACCGCCGCCCCCCGCTACTGCTAAGCCGCAGCAGCAGCTCCAGCAGCTGCAGCAGCAGCAGCAGCAACAGCAGAAGTAGCAGCAGCCTGAATTTGTATGAGAGAAGCTCTGATATAAGAATAGGAAGTACCTGCACTCTCCACGATTGCAGGCACCGATGTACGGTCTAAATCCTAGGTTTAGTGTTTAAAGTTCAGGCTTGAGGGTTTTAGGTTTTGAGTTTAGGGTTTAGGGCTTAGGGTTTATGGCTTTGTGCTTATTACGTACTACTTGGGGTTTAGGAAAGACAACAGAAAGACATGCAGCAAGAGCAGCAGCAGCAGCAGCAACCACTTTGCTACTGGTTGTTGTCTGCAGGAATGGGTAAGAGAATAACTTCTGGGGTGGGGTCAGTGCAGCGCAGCAGCTGCTGAGGGCTCAGTTGGTGTTTAGAAGCACTCCGCAGTTGGCTTATGCATCAATGCGTGGTTGCAGTCAGCAGCTGGTGTGCAGCAGCAGCTTGTTTGCTGCAGCGGCTGGTGTGGAGCAACAGCTTGTTTGCAGCAGCAGCTGGTGTGCAGCAGCAGATTGTTTGCTGCAGCGGCTGGTGTGGAGCAACAGCTTGTTTGCTGCAGCAGCTGGTGTGCAGCAGCAGATTGTTTGCTGCAGCGGCTGGTGTGGAGCAACAGCTTGTTTGCTGCAGCAGCCCTATACAGAAACTGAGTTCGTTGGGTGCAACCTCACAAACAAAAATATTTAAAATAATTGGGGAGACATTTCTCTAGAGACGCCCGCAAAAACCCTCTTCCCTCTTATCCCCGGCACACAGCTGCAGCAGTGCCTTGTGCTGCAGCAGCCTGTGCTCCGGTGGGGTTGGCGACGCGGAGAGGATGTAAAGACAAATTTGCTTATCAGTAGAACAGCATGCTTTGCTGCTGTAGCCGCTGCTGCAAGGCAAGGAAGCCTCAATGCAGACGCAGACAAGTGCTGTGCTGCAGCAGCCTGTGCTGCAGCAACCAATCGTGCAGCAGCCCGTGCTGCAGCAACTTTTGCTGCAGCAGAGCTCTGCGCCCGCAGCGTAGCACTCCCTGTGTTCTGAAGGGCGGGGCGCGCTGCGTGTGAGTGCAGTGCAGCAGCACAGCGGAGAGGGGCTGGTGGGTGCTGCCTTTCTCTACAGGAAACCCCGAGGGGCCCCTAAGAACTGTTGCTGCTGCTGCTGCTGCCCCGAAGCAATAAACAGATTCCCTGCCTTTGTGGGGCTGCAGTATGAGTGGCTTTTTAAAGGGGCCCCCCAAAAAATGCAGAGCGACCCTCAAATAAGGGGCTCCCCTCGAAAGGGTACTGCTGAAGGGGCCCCCACCGCACCCATGGGGGCCCGGCTCACGTTGATACAAGCGGCTACAGAGTGAGATAGTGTTTAGGGTTTAAGGTTTAAGGCTTGGGTACTGGGATGCGAGGCCCTTGAGTGTGTGCACCATCAACTCGCCATTGCTGTCTGCGCAAAACTTCATTATCGCTTGCGGCACGCCTCTGCAGCAGCAGCAGCAGCAGCAGCAGCAATAAGAGCAGCAGCAACATCAGCAGTACCAACATGTTCATCTCATCTCTTCCAGAAGTAGCGCAGCGTTTGTTGAGTCGATCGGTCGCAGGTCCAGCAGCAGCAACAGTGACAACACGGGCAGCAGCAGTAGCAGCAAGAGTAGCAGCAGCAACAGCATTTTCCGGAAGCAGCAGCAAGTGCACCAACACCAGAAACAACGGAGACACAGACGGCAGGAGCAAGAACAGTTGCCACAACAACTATGCCTACAACAGCGTCAACAACAACAGCAGAAACAACAGCACGAACAACAGCAGCAGCGACAGCAGCACAAGCAGCAGCAGCAGCAAAGCTGACGATAAGTTGCCTTCGACTTGGTGCTGCAGCGATAGGAATTCGTCTGGGGTCAAACAACCGCTCGTCATCAAGGCCCCTAAAGCCTGCAGCACGTCTTCCTTGCTGCAGCAGCAGCAGCACCAGCAGCGCCAACAGCAGCAGCAGCAACGGACAGCAGCAACAGGCAGCGGCAACAGGAAAGAGCAGCTCACCTTGTAATGAATGCCCGCCACTTGGCTGCATGCGTGCAGTTATGCAGACCTTTAACAACTCAATAAAGAAATTGAACCCTAAACCCTAAACCCTAAACCCTAATCCGCATTGTGTAGACCTGCAAACAGCAGCTTAATTAGCACATTGAGAGTTGCCGGGCGTCTCACGTCAACAATCCTAAATCCTCCGAGGGGCTTAGGGGCCCCTGCTGGGTTGGCTGGGGGCTCCCAGCCTCTTCTTGGGGGCCCCCAGCCACTTCCTGCGGGCCCCCATACTCTTCTTGGGGGTCCCCAGCCAGTTCTTGGGGGCCTCCACTCCCTTCTTGGGGGACTCCAGCCTCTTTGTGGGGGCCCCTATACTCTTCATGTGGGGCCCCATACTCGTGGTGGGGGCCCCTAGCCTCTTCCTTGTGGCCCTTAGACAGTTCTTGGGGGTCTATCGCTTCTGTGTGCAGGCGTACAGAAGCTGTAAGGGGGGCCCTCTGCTGCAGGTGAGAGGCCCCCTGGGTACGGTCCGCATACTCTCGTAGGGCATGCGGGCCCCCTGAAGAGAAGGCGGAGGGCCCCTCCCACTGTGCAGCAACGCCATCGGCGGCTGCATGCAAACACAACAGACAGCAACAGCCCTCGTGTTGCTGCTGCGTGCTGCTGCTGCAGGAGCAGCAACACGTATGCTGCACGCTGCTGGTAGCCTGCGCGTTTATTATTACTACAGTGTTCTCTTGTATTATCCCGCTATTATTATTATTAGTATTACTATTGTTATTATTATTATTAGTATTACTGTTGTTACTATTATTATTAGTATTACTATTGTTATTATTATTAGTATTACTATTGTTATTATTGTTATTTATTATTATTATTACTATAAGCAAAAAATATATTGCATCATTATAATAATACAGATAACTTTGTTTTGTTGTATTATTTTCTTGACTTCATCTCATTTCTATCACTAGGTGGGAGCAGAGAAGACAGACGGACCTGCAGCGCCGTGGTGGTTGCGGTGAGCCCAGCAGAAGTGCGGCTCCCTCCTGCTGCAGCTTCCTTCTATTGGGGCCCCCGCATGCAGCAGCAGCTGCGGCGCTGCTGCATGCACTGCCGCGTGCTGCTGGGGGACCCCCGCCATGCACCAGCAGCACTGACAGCGGAGGCATTGAGGGCACGTGCAGTAGCAGCAATTATCGAGGGGTCCCCGGTGATGCTCCTCTGCTGCAGGGGCCCGTATCCTGAGCTGCGCTGCTGCCTCCCACCTGCTGCTGCTGCTGAATTCCAGCTCCCCGGTCACCTGCTTCTTAGATACTTTTGTTGCCTCCAAATGCTGCAGTGGTACTTCTGGCTGCTCGTGCAATTCCTGCTGCGTCGTTTGCTTCGTCGGCTCAGCTTGCTGCTGCTGCTCGTGCTGCTGTTGCTGCTGCTGGGTACACAGCGGCTGCTGTGCTGGCAAGGTCTCACTGAGCAAGACACGCTGCAGCAAATACTGCTGCTGCTGTTGCTGCTGCAAGAGGTCTTCTTCCAACAGCAAGTCCGGCTGCTGCTGCTTTTCGAGGTCGGGCTTCTGCAGTTGCACCGTTTGCTGATGCTGCTGCTGTTCTAGCTGCTGCAACAGATGCTGCTGCTGACAGCTAGGGAGAGCTTCGGCTAGTTGATGGTGTGCACTTTGCTGCTCTGGTTGCACCTGCTCTTGCTGCTGCCCTTGCTGCTGCTGCGCGTGGTGATCCTGTTGCGCCGCTTCTTGCTGCTGCTGTTGCTGTTGTAGCTGTGGCGTTAGTGGCAATGGGTCACGGGGCAGCCGTTGCTGCTGCTGTTGCTGCTGCTGTTGCTGCTGCTGTTGCTGTTGCTGCTGCTGGGTGTAGCTGGCCCTGTGCACAGCGTTTGAGGCATCGCTGCTGGCGGCCTCAGACGGCAGTGAGGGCTTTTCCGTTGCCAGGTGGCCCTCCTCTAGAAACATGAGGCTCAGATTTTGCTGCTGCTGCTGCTGCTGCTGCCGTTGCTGCATATGCTGCGTGGGGCGAGAGAGGTGGGTGCTAAAGCCGGTAGCTACGGTGGGTATGCTGGAGTTGCTGCTGTAGTCGTTGAGTGCTGCAGCAGTAAGTTGTGGGGTTGCAGCAGCAGCAGCAGCTCGAATGGTGGTTGGGGCGAACGGCAGGCTTGTAGCTGTCGCAGGAAAGAAGTTCAGATGCTGCTGCTGCTGTTGCTGCTGTTGTTGCAGCTGCAGCAGATGCTGCTGCTGTTGTTGCAACTGCAGCAGTTGGTGCTGCTGCGTCTGCAGTTGCAGTTGGTGCTGCGCATGTTGGTGCTGCTGCTGCAGCTGCTGCTGCTGCTGCAGTGGGGCTGGCAGGAGCAGAGTGCGCTGCGTGGCAAGCGAATGATTGCAGACCTCTCCCTCACTGAGTTGCTGCAGCAGCGCTTCTGCCTGCGAGCTGCTGGGCCTCACCCAAGGGAAGAGAGGTGCAGCTGAGGATACACCTGAAAGAGATAGAGGGAAGGCCTCATAGACGGCGTTTTGCCTCACCTCGCCGTCGCTGAGTTGGGGGTCAAAGGGCTCGTCAGCAACAATTGGAGGGGCTACTGTTGCTGCTGCTGCTGCTGCGGCGGCGGCGGCTGCTGCTACTGTGGCCGCTCTTGCGGCTCCCGTCGCTGTTGCTGCTGCTGATGCTGCTGTTGTTGCTGCACCCGTTGCAGTTGCTGCTATTGCTGCAGCTGCTGCTGCTGCTGAAGTGTCTCTAGGTGAAAGCATCGAAGCCGCTAAGGAGCTCCCAGCAAGGAGGGGAACGAACAGTCCACGGGAACTGTGTTGCTGCTGCTGCTGTTGGTCCTGCTGCTGCTGTTGGTCCTGCTGCTGCTGTTGCTCCTGCTGCTGCTGCTGCTCCTGCTGCTGCTGTTGCTGTTGCCGCTCCTGCTGCTGCTGCTGCTGCTGCTGCTGCTGCTTCTCCTGCTCCTGCTTCTCCTGCTGCTGCTCTTCCTGCTGCTGTTGCTCCTGTTGCTGCTGTTTCTCCTGTTGCTGCTGCTGGTGCTGTTCTTGCTGTTGTGCCACGGCAGAGGGCGCCGCTCCTTCTGTTTCCAGGTCGTTGTTAGGCAGACGTCCCTCAGCAGCAGTTCCCTCTTCTTCCATATTGCTGCTGCTGGGCTCTATGCTATTGCTGCTCTCGTTGCTGTTTTTGCTGCTGCTGCGAGTTGAGTGCAGCAGCGGCTGCAGCAGCGTACGGGGCAAGGAGAGCAGCCTTAAGGGCCATGAGCCCTTCCCCTGATCCCTTGTCGGGCCTCCCGCCTCACTAGGCAGAGATTCGTACAAGGCTGCTGTCTCCTGCTGGTGTTGCTGCTGCTGCTGTTGCTTTTGCTGCTGCTCGCGCTGAGCTGCAGCAACGGCGCAGAGAATCTTGTAGGAAGGGAGCCGGTAAGATGCGTACTCGTAGACCTGAGGAGTTGTTACTGCCGCTGCTGCTCTTTCTGCTGCTGTTGCTTGTCCGGCTGTTGCAGGCTGTGCTGCTGCTACTGGTTCTGCTGCTTCTACCCCTTCTTTTGGTGCTGCTGCGGGTACTGCGTCTTCTTCGGCTCCCACTGATTGCTGGGCTGCTGCTGCTGCATCGGCTGCAGCACTTTCTGATGATGCTGCAGTTTGCTGCGTAATAGCTGTTGTTGTTGCTGTCGCTGCGGCTGCAGGCGCACTGTCTTCTGCTGCTGCTGCTGCTGGTGTCGCTGCGTGTCTCTCCATTCCAGCAGCTGAAGTGCTGTCCCCCGCTGCAACGGGGGACAGCACTTCAGCTGCTTCTCGCGCGGCTGCGTCTGGCTCCGGTGCTGCAACTGGAGCAGCAGCTGCTACTGGTGCTTCAGGCAGTCCTGAAGTCGGTTCAGGTGGAGGCTCCCCCATCAGGCCCGAGAAGCTTCTCATTGGGAAGCTAGCTATGCTGAGGCTCCTTAGGGAGCCGCTGCTGTCGTTGTCGTTGGTGTTGTTGTTGTTGCTGCTGCTGCTGCTGTTTTTGTTTTCGCTCTTGCTGTTGTTGTTGGTGCCGCTGCTGCTGTTGTTGTTGTTGCTGCTGCTGCCGCTGAGTTGAAGCACTTCCTCGCTAGTGCTACAGGGGCGGTTGGGGGGTTCTTCAGGGGTCCTGTGCAGCAGCGGATAGCCAACATCGTGAAGTTGCTGCTGCTCCTCCTCCTCATTGTTGTGCTGCTGCTGCTGTCGTTGTCGCTGCTGCATTTGGTGCTCCTCATTGTTGTGCTGCTGCTGCTGTCGTTGTCGCTGCTGCATTTGGTGCTGCTGCTGCTGCAGCAGGTGTTCGTGCCAAGGGTTTTCGCTGGGTTCCTCAAAGCTATCGGCTGAGCCCCACTGCATGGGGTTGCTGCAGCGCCTCAGCAGCAAGCTGGTGCTGCTGCTGCTGCTTCGGCTGCTGCCGGGGGTGTTGCCGCCTTCTGGTGGTTCTCTATGGGGTTGCATTCTGCTGCTGTTCTGGCTGAAGTTCAGAGAGGGAGACAAAGGCACCCAGAAAGGAAGTCGGCCCGGGCTGAGTGCTGTTTCGACGCCCTCCCCTGAATGCCAGCTCGTCTGGTTCATATAGTTGGCATGCTGCTGCTGCTGCTGTTGCTGCTGCTGCTGCTGCTGTTGCAGTTGCAGGAGCTGGACCTGCTGCTGCTCCTGTTGGAGCTGCAGAAGCTGCAGCCGCTGTTGCTGCTGCTGCAGTTGCTGCTGCTGCAGCTGCAACTGCAGCAGCAGCTGTTGGTCGTGTTGTCGTTGTTCTAGCATGTACTGCTGCTGTTGCTCGCTCTCCTGCTGCCGCTGCTGCTGCAGGTGTTGCTGCAGCTGTTGCTGAAGCTGTATCTGCTGCTGTAGCTGTTGCTGCTGGAGCAGCTGCATCTGCTGCATGTGCTGCAGCGCAGCAGCAGAAGGTACCGCTATAGAATGCGATCTGAGCAGCAGCTGCGCTCCTTCGTCTCCTCCTGAGGGGGGCAAAAGGCAGGTTTGTGCTCTTAGCCGCTGAGCGCCTCCGTTGGCTGCTGCTGCTGCTGCTGCTGCTTCGGTTGCTGGTGCTGATTCTGTTACGGCTGCTTCTCCTTCTGGTTCTTCTGCTGCCTCCTCCGCTGCTGTTGCGGCTTCTGCGGCTGCCTCACCTTGTGCTGCTGGCGATGCTGCTGCTCCAGCTGCTGCTGCACTTTCTGTTGCATCTGCTGTTGGTGCTGCTCTTTCCGTTGCTGTATCTGCTTCTGGTTCGTCTGCTTCTGGTGCTTCTACTCGTTCATCTGCTTCTTCTCTTCCCGTAGCTGCTTCGCCGTCTGCAGCTGCAGCTACTGCTGCTGCTGCTGCTTCGTCTGTGGGTTTTTCTGGTGCTGCAGTTTGCGCCTTGGCGAAGGCGTGCCGCCCGTTTGCTGCCGCGCGGTTGTCTTGCTTGTTGCTGTTGTTGTTGCTGCTGCTGTTGCTAAGGGTGCATCTAGCAGCAGAGCTCGTGGCTCTTCTGGCTGGAGGTGAGGCGTTCCCTCTGAGAGGCCGCTGTCCATCCCATCTGCTGCTTGTGCTGCTGCTGCTGCAGGTGCAGCTCTTGCTGCGAGAAGCAGCAACAGCAACTGTTTGGCTGCGGTGTCTCGACATCCCCTGCTGACTCTGCTGAGGCAGCCCATAGGCGGCAGCAGTCAGAGGGTATGGCGTGAGCTTCCGGTTCCTCACGATGCCGCTCCTGCAGTTGCTGCTGTTGCTGCTCTTGCTGCTGTTGCTGCTGATCATGATGCGAACAGCCTTGACGCTGCTGCTCCCTCCAGTGGGTGCTGCTGCCACAGAAAGTCCCCTTGGGCCGCTTTGCAGCTGCTGAGTAAACAGCCTCTGCTGCCTGCCCTTGCTGCTGCTTCTGCCGCTGCTGCTCTTGTGCAGCGCGGCAGGAGGAGCTGTTGAGTAGGCTCTGCCGCGCAGTATTCCGCGGGCCCCAGGGCTGAGCGAAGCAGCAGGCCGAGAGGAAGATCTGCAGCGTTCACTCTCTCCAGTTGTACTGCTGGTGCTGCTGCTGCTGCTGTTACTGTTACTGTTATTGTTGCTTCCCGCATCGACGTCTGCTCCAGCATCAGCCGCCCTTGCTGCTGCTGCTGCTGCAGGTGACTGCAGCGCAGTGTAGGCGCGGTTCGTACTAAAGGGAGGCCCTGATACACTGCGAGCGGCTGAGGTGTATGTGCAACTGCTGTAGCTCCGTTGAGTTGCTCCGCCCAAACCCTTTTTTGTTCTGGCGAAGGTCCCAACGTTTGCTGCTGCTGCTGCTGCAGCGGCCATTACTGTTGCTGGAGCAGCTGACGCTGCAGACTTTTGTTGTGCACCTCGTTCACCCGACGTCTGTGGCGCTGGGGCAGCTGCAGCTGCTGCTGCAGCGGGAACAGCAGCTGCTGCAGCAGCAGCGGGCGCTTCTGCTGCGTCACGAGTTGCTGCTGTTGTTGTTTTGTGTATCGGCTGTGGGCTGCTTTCGTCTGCCGGTGCCTGGCGTTGCTGCCCTCCGCTGGCCCCCCTCTCCTTGCTTGAAGAGAAGAACCCCCTATACACCGCAGCGGGCCCCCCCGTGATCTGTTGATGCTCCTGCTGCTGTTGCTGCTGCTGGTGTCCCTGGTCCCCTCCGAATATGGCCTTACGGGTATTGCTGCTGTTGAATTGAGAGACCGCAAAGGAGTTCATCTCTTCGAGTTGCAGCTCTTCTTCCAGCAGCAGCTGCTGCTGCTCCTCCTGCTGCTGCAGCTGCAGCTGCAGCGGCTGATGCAGGCTTCCTTGGTAAGGAACAAAAGCAGTGAGGGAGCGGGGTTTAGGTTTAAACCTCTGCTGCCGTTGTTGCTGCTGAGGGAGGGGCTGCCCGCAGTGGGTGAAGGTCTGCCTGCCGCGAATGAGTCGAAGGCTGGGGCCCCCATCTCGAGGGGTAAGAGGAGGAGAACGACACAGTTCTAGGATACTCTGTTGCTGCTGCTGCAGCTCTTGTTGTTGCTGCTGCTGCTGCAACTCTTGTTGTTGCTGCTGCTGCTGCAGCTGCTGTTGCTGTTGCCGTTGCTGCTGCTGCTGTTCGTGCTGCTCCAGCCGATGCTGTTTCTGCTGCTGTTGCTTTTGCTGCTGTTGTTGCGGCCGCCGCTTCTGGAGCTGCTGTTGGTGGTGCGGCAGCAGTTTCTGGGAGTGCTGTTGCTGTTGCTGCTGCAGCTGCTGCTGCTGTTGCCCACAGCTGTGGCTCCGACGGGGTTGGGCCCCTCCCGCGCGACTGGCTGTGGGCTGTGGGGAGGAAGGCTGCTGCTGGCTGTTGCAGCTTATTGAGGCCCCCTTTGCTGTTGCTGCTGCAGATGCTGTTTGTGACTTTCTCTGCTCCACACTAAGCTTGGGGCTTCTCGACGCGCTGCTGCAGCTTCTACGCTGCTGTTGCTGCTGCTGCTGCAGTTGCTGCCGCTGCGGCAGCTCGGTCAGGCGTTTGCGCTTTGTTCTGCGCGGTGAGGGACTGCGTTGAGGCTGCTGCCTTCGAAGATGAGGTAGCAGTTCCTTCTGCTGCTCCTGCTGCTGCTGCCCGTCCTGGTGCTGTTCTTGCAGTTGTGTTTGCCCCAGGTCCACTCGGTGTTGTTGCTGCTGTGCCCGAGGTTCCTGGCGCTGGTTTTGTTGTTGTTGTTGCTGCTGCTGCAGCTGTTGACGCGGCTGCAGTTGGGCCTGTTGTTGCTGCTGCTGCTGCTGTTGCAGCGTTTGCTGTTGTTGGTGCTTTAGTTGCCTCTGCCGCCGCTCCTCCCCGTCTTGCTTATGGTCCTGTTGCTCCTGGGTGTCCTCCAGCAGTTGCTGCTGTAGTTGGAGCTCCTGCTCCTGTTCCTCCTGCTGTTGCTTTTCCTGCTGCAGCTGCTGATGGTGCCCCTGCCCACGCTGCTGCAGCAGTTGCTCCTGCTCCTGTTGCTGTTGCTCCTGGTTTTGGCGCTGGTTTGGGTATTCAGACGCGTCTGCAGTGTGGCATGGCTGCCCTGTCTTGCTGCTACAGAATTCAATGGAGCGAGCCTGCTGCTGCTGCAGCTGCTGTTTCTGAGGCTGTTGTGCTTCTAGTAGTTGGCTGTGGGGTTCAGATGGGGCTACAGAAACTGCTGCAGCTGGTGCACCGGGTGCAGCTGCTGCAGCAGCAGCACCGCGGAGGCGCTGCTGCTGCCTGCTGCACTCCAGTAGAGAAGGCAGCCGCGACAGGCCCTCAAGTTTGTCAGTCTGCTGCTCCTTATCGAGCACCAGCAGCTGGTGCTGCTGCTGGGAGGAGTAAACCCTTTCCTGCTGCTGCAGCGTCTGCTGCTGGATGGATTGCTGCTGCAGCAGCATTTGTTGCAGCAGTGCGAACACCTGCTGCTGCATTGGCTGCTGCGTCTGCTCCTGCTGCAGCATTTGCTGCTGCGGCAGCAGCAGCGGCTGAGGGATGGGCTGCGGCTGGGACGACAGGACTCCTCGTTCCTCATGCGCAGCGTCTTGCCGTTGCTGCCAACTTGCGTCCTGTTGCTGCTGCTGCTGTTGTTGTTGTTGCCGCTGTTGGTGTTGCTGCTGCAGCAATAGATCGTTGCTGCAGTGCGTCGCTGGCCCTAGCCTGGCGGCTGTCTCCTGCAGCAGCTGCAGCTTGTCAGTTGTTGCGTGGGAGCAGCAGGATGCTGCATCGCATGGGCTTGGTGTTGCTGCTGTTGCTACTTCACCAACTGCTGCTGCTGCAGGGCTATTCAAGTAGCTTATAGGGGAGACGACCGCCTGCTTGAAGGCAGCAGTTTGCTGCTGCTCCCGCAGTAGCAGCTCTTCGGCTTCTTTCAAGGCCTCTACTACTACAGAATCCTCCAACTGAGCACTCTCTCGCTTCATCTGCTGCTGCTGCTGCTGCTGTTGCTGCTGCAGGTTTGTTTCAATCCTAGTGCTACTGCTGCTGCTGTTTAGTCGCTGCTGAGCAATTGTGCAGGCCAAAAGGGGGAAGTGCGGCGGCTCCACGGCGCCCGCTGCATCCAGTGAGGGGCGTCTGAGAGCCGCGGCTATGCGAATCTGCTGCTGCTGCTGCTGATGATGATGATGATTGGTGGTCTTTTGCGTGAGGAGTGCGTGGATGCGGGTCTCCAACTGCTTCCGCATCAGCAGCTCCTCCTGCAGCACAAGTTGCTGCTGCAGCGTCTGGGCCCTGAGGGTTTCTGCTGCGGTGTGCATGCGCTGCTGCTGCGCCCTCTGCTCCGTCCTCCAGCCGCTTTTTGTAGGACTGCTGCTGATGCTGCTGCCGGTGTGCTGCTGCAGCTGATGAGTCCCTTCTTCTTTTGTCTTGCCGCTGCGCAGTGCAGCAAGAACCCCCGAAGGGTCTCGGCCCACCCGCAGTTGCCCTCCGCAGCTGCTGGTGCTGGTAGCAGCAGCAACGGCTGCTGCGGCTGCTGCAGTAGCTACTGAGGAAGCATCCGGAGGAGGGGGGAGCGCCTTCTTAAGCGTAGTCGGCCCTGCCAGGTGTGGTACATCAGCTGCTGCTGCTGCTGCAGTTGCTGCTGCTGCTGTTGCTGCGGCTGGGGGTGGAGGTGCGTGGCCGGTTTGCAGTAGATGGTCAACTGCTGCAGCAGCAGCAATAAACTCTTTACGTGCAGCAGCTCCTGCTGCTGTCCTGCGCTCTTCTTGCATCGCATGGCTCAGCAGATGCAGCAGATAGTGTTGCTGCTGCTGCTCTGCAGTCAGGACATCGTGCAGCAGCTGCTGCCCCTCAGCTGGCAGCAGCTGAAGCAGCAGCTGCAGCTGCCGCTGCTGCTTCCGGTCGCCCGTTGAGGCTAACGTGTCTCCGCTGTAGAAGCAGCTGCTGCTGTTGCAGCTTCTGTCCACTGGCTTCCCCCTAGAGCGCCGTCTGCTGCTATCTGCTACTGCTGTGATGTCTATATACCTTGTATACCGCTCCCCAGCATGGGCCTGCTGCTGCTGCAGCGTTATCTGCTGCTGAACACGAAAAGGGTCCGAGAGGTGCTGCAGGTTCTCCAGCACCTGCTGCACCGTCTCTGTAAACGAAGGGCCCTCAGGGGCCCCTCTCTCCGCCTTTGTTGCATGCAAAGTGCCCCCCGTGGCTGCTGCTGCTGCTGCTACTGTTGCGGGGTCCCTCCTCGGCACAGGCAACGCCACAATGCCTCTCGAGCTTGAGCTGCGCCTGCAGCAGCACCCAGCAGCACTGATCAGCAGAGGGTGTTGCTGCAGCTGCAGCAGCAAAGAGCACCTGGGCCAGCAGCCCCTTATAAACCAAACGACCAAACGAATTCAAATAACTGAGGGAGAAAGGTGAAGGTGTAACTGAGGAGACAACAGGCACGACGCGTGCATGCACAGAAACAAAGAAAGAAAAGGAACAAAAAGAACAGCGCCAAACGCAAAACAAACCCAGAAGGTATACCCGTAGGCCCGAGTCGCCGATACCAGCGGCCCTTCAGCCCCATCTCCCCTCCTGTCTGCGGCAGCGCACGCAGCAGCAGCACCAGCAAATACAGAACGGGTTGCAGTCTTCTATGACTTCGTTGCTGCTGTCTGGTTGCTGCGGTTGGTGACGCTGCTGCTGCTGCTGCTGCTGCTGCAGCTGCTGCTGTCAAGGGGCCGTTTAAATGGGGCTTCAGCAGCAACAGGAGCAGCACCACGCCAGTCATCAGCAGCTGCAGCAACTCTAGCCGCAGGAACTCTAGCAGCAACTGGAGGCCGGCTGGTCAGCTGAAGGCCTTTGATGCCGCATCAGCAGCAACAGCAGCAATAGCAGCAACAGCAGCAAGAGGTCCCCCTGGGCTCACCCCAGGCTTGACTTTGGCTGCGTCTCGAGTGTCTCCTGCGGCCACCACACAAGCACGACGCCTCTGCGCTTCTTCCTTCAGCAGTTTCGTTCACTTCGTTACCCTAAGAGGCCCTCACACCTCATCACAGCCCCCCCTACCTCTGGGCAGCCAGCCGTCCCCTGGCCCTGCGAAGGTGCAGGGGGGGCCCCTCCTTGGGGGCCCCCCCGTGGAAACCCCCCGCAGCAAGCGCCTGCATGCACTCTTCTTAGGGCCCCCAAGAATTATATATATAGCATTCATATGTATGTACTTGTCAAAATAGATATGCATACGCATATGTATGTGCATATCCATATCTGTATATCTATATGTACATAAATATTTATATGTGCACACGTGCAGTAGCTTCAAAGAAGAGCCAGGGCCCGTTGAGGTAGAAAGGAAGCCTGCCAGCCCGCCGAGTTGCGCATCTGTCTCTGCTTGCATTTCTTTGAATTTTTCTTGTTCGTTAGTGTGTGTCCGCTTGTTTATACTTTGCCTGTCGCCCGTTTTGCTTGTTCGTTTTGTTTGTTTTGTTTGTTTGTTATGCTTATTTGATAGCTCAAGTTTGTTCGTTTAATATTGTGTTCGTCTTTGACTTCATCTAATTTTGTTTTCGTGTATCTTTGTTTGTTTAGCATTGTTTGTTATTTAACTTTCCTTTTTTAACTTTGTTCGCTGTTTAACTTTGTTCGTTCAACTTTGCCATTTTTCTTCGTTTGTTTGACTTGGTTTGTTATTTATCTTCGACTGCTTAACATTGCTTGTTATTTAACTTTGTTTGTTTAACTTTGTTATCTATCTTTGCTTGGCTGTTAACTTTGTCTTTTCCAATCCTTCTTTGCCCTCCTAAACCTGTTCATGCGTTTAATTTTGTTCGTCTTCTCCCTTTGTTTTTTCTGCTTTGTTTGTTTGTTCAACTTTGTTTGTCTAACTGTTTATTTTTCCGCTTGCTTTGTCTGTATAGTCTACTTTTATGACCTTGTTGCTTTATAACATTGTTGGTTTGTTTAACTTTGTTTGTTTGTCTAACTTTGTCTAATTTCTGCCCGTGTTTTGTCTTCAACTTTGCTTTTTTGCTTAATTTTATGTGCCGTTTCTTTTGTTTGTTTGTATGACACTGTTTGTTTAGCTTTTTAACTTTCCTTGTACATGACTTTGGTTGCTACGTAGTGTTATTGTTTTGTACTGCTTCATTAACCCTTTTAAACAGCCCTTCGTCTTCACTGGTGTGGAGGGAGGCCTGGTGAAGCTCCCCGTGCTGAGCTACACCCACCGGGGTGGAGCAGCAGCCTGCTGCCTGCGCTGCAGCAGCAGCTGCTGCTGCTGCCGCTGCTGCTGCTGTGAATTTTGCTGCAACGAGAAAAACATAAATCCCCGCCGCGTTGCTGCGCTCGCAGAGCGCTGCAGCTGACGGACAGCGCCTGAAATGCACAGATGCAGACGCACGCGCTGCTGTTGCTGCTGCTGCTGTCAGTGTTAATTGTGTTTCCCGGCTCCTGGTACAGCTTCTAGTGTTTTGCTGCTGATCGTATGCAACAATCGCGACAGGCTTCAAGTTGAGCTATAGGGTTTAGGGTTCAGGGTTTAGGGTTTAGGGTTTGGGGTTTAGGGTTTGGGTTTTAGGGCTTTGGACCTGATTGTATTTTCCATGTGGCCTCCAAAAGAGTGTCGTCTCCACCGACCCCGAAATGCATTTTCGCCTTCGGGCTGCGCTAACTTGCTGCTGCAGTTGCTGCTGCAGCTGCTGCAGTTGCTGCTGCTGCTGCTGCAGTTGCTGCTGCTGCTGCTGCAGTTGCTGCTGCTGCTGCTATTGTTGTTGGGGGGGTAGTGCCCGTTGCCGTCTTTCGTTGTGCTTCTAGAGAACCCCTTGGTGCCGTTGTTCTCTCTAAACAGCACCGGAGCAACTGGGGTTGCTCAAACCGCATCTCTCGGCTACCGCTGCTGCCTGAATTGCTGCTGCTGCTGCTTCTGCCGCTGCTGCCGCTTGTTCGTCCTGCCCAGTGAGTCCTTCTAGCTCCCTGCGTTCAATGCTAGGGTGTGTTGTCTCAGTCGACACGTCTTGGTGAGCGCTTCAGGCTTAGGCTTAGGTGTTTGAGGGCCAGCAGCAAAGGGGGAGGGCCTTTGGATCTAATTTAGGGCCGGAGCTGAGGGTTTAGGGATCGCCTGGGGCTGCGCATTCCGGGGTCCAGGGAATCAAAGAGACATGGCCAGCTTCATCAGGTGATGCTGCTGCTGCTGCTGCCGCTGCTGCTCCTACGGTTGGGAAGGTGACCCTGAAGGCCTCCACCGCAGCTGTGCTCGGCCCCAGCGGTGTGCGCTTGGAGGTCTAGTGCCGCCTGCACAGTTTGTAAGATGTTTAAATCAAAACATATTTCATCGAAATTCCACGTGGATTGCTCCTCCTCAGCTGCGCGCAGCAGCAGCAGGAGCAGCAGCAACAGCAGCAGCGGTGCGCAAGGCTCAGCAGGTCACCAGCCCCAGCGTCCTGGTGTTCTGCCCCTCCATCTTCTGTAGTTTTTGCCCCAAAAAAAATTCTTTAACCTTTTTTATATGTTTATTAGTCGAAATAGAGGCTGTTCCGCTCCCTTAATGGCCCAATAGACCTTCCGAGGCACTCCAACCTGCCCGAGTAAACTGGTGGTGTCCTTTGCCGCTGCCTTTGCCGCTGCTGCTGTTGTTGCTGCTGTTGTTGTTGCTACTACTCCTGCTGCTCCCCTTAGGGCTGGTTGCTCTGACTCTTGTTGCTGGTCTATTCTTCAAGGGGATCCCCCTCTGACATCCCCGCTGGGCCGGCATGAGGCCTTAAGGCCCTTCTTTGCCGCCTCGAAGGGCACCCCCTCCCGCTGGAGACTGTAGGCCCTGAGGGCCCCCCTTGCCCTCAGCTTGGCGCCTTGCGAGCCCCGTCACCATTGCAATGAGGCCATAGGGGGCCCCCATGTTTGAGGGTTGGGGCCCCCGGCGAGTTCGGGACAGCAGCTTCAGCGGCCTGTGGTGTTGCCCCCCTATCGCCTGGAGAGGCAAAAAGGGTCAGACTTAACTCTGGAGGTGGCAGCTTAGGGTTTATGCTCCAGGGGAGAAGCCCTGAAGTAGGAGATGGTAGCTGAACCTGGGGGGGAGGGCCCCTCCGAGGGTCCCTCTGGTGGGCCCTCTGGGGGCCCCCGTAGCCAGTTGAAGCGGAGGATGGCCCTTGCGCAGTATTTGCTTTATCAGTTGCGGCGTAGCAGGGAAGCCTATTACCCTGAAATCACCAAAAGAGGGGGCCACCACGGGGGGCCCCCCGCGGGGCCCCAAGAAGGGGGCACAGGGGACAGCGCTGCAGATATTGCAGCTGCTGGGGCAGAGAGCCTGGCAGACGCTCTAGATCCTTCAGTGCCGGTGTCTGCGCTGCTCGACTCAATCGTTTCCCCATCTACTGGTGCTGCTGTTGCTGCTAGTGCAGCAGATGCTCCAGCAAGCCCAGATGCAGCAGCAGAAGCAGCAGCAGCAGAACTAGCAGCAGCAGCAGAACCAGCAGCAGCAGCAGAAGCTGCCTCTTGGGGGGCCTTGGCTCGTGAAACAATTGCTGCAGCAGGCAGGCCTCCCCATGAGGCCCTGGAGCTGTACCTGTGTGAGAGGTTGCTGCCGGTGCTGGACAGCGCCTTGGCGGCGCTGTGCAGCTTCGTTGAACAGCTGCAGGCGGACGACCGTCAGTATGAGCAGAGCCTGCAGCAGCAGCAGCAGCAACAGGAAGTAGCGCCGGATCAAAGGGCCCATCCCCCTTGTCATTACCTGGGACAGGGCCTCAAGGACCGCTTCGACCCTCTCGTGTGGCTGGCGCAATATTTGCTGCGCCAAGGGAAGGCAGCAGAGGAGTACGAGGAGGCTGCCTCTGCCTGCAACGCAGCAACAGCAACAACGGCAACAGGAGCAACAGCTGCAACACCAGTAGCAGCAAGGCCGTGGATCCGGGGAGAGCACTTGCGACACTCGGAGTTGCCGTTTTATTCGGCAGTGGCCGCCCAAGTAAGAGAAGAAAGGGGGTGGAGAGCATTCGAAGCCCTCAGGCCCCAAGCCGAGCGCATCGTCTACAGTTACTTTGAGGAGCTGCAGCAGCAGCAGCAGCAGGAAGGGGGTGACGACGAGGAGCCGCGTAAGAACCAGAACCAGGAGCCGCAGCAGAAGGAAGATGAGCAGCAGCAGGAGAAGCAGCAGCAAGAGCCATGTAGACTGACCGCAGAAGACTTGCCTGCAGCGCTGCAGGCGTTAGATGCAGCGTGGGGTCTTGGAGAGGAGCGGGGGCTGTTTGCTGCTGTTGCTGCAGCAGAGGGGGACACCGACACAGAGTCTTCCAGCCTCCCTAGCAGCTACAGGAGCGGCAGGCTCTCCTATAGGTTGCTGCCGGTGCAGTCGCGCAGCAGAAGCAGCAACAACGGCAGCAGCAGCAGCATCGTGGGCGCCTGCAGCGGAGTGCCTCTGGAAGTGGCAGACAGCAGCAACATAACCTTTGTGGAGTTGTGGGCGTTTGTCTCCTCTTGCCTGCAGGCCTGCCCCCCCCTCAGACAGGCCGTCTTCGCCTACGCACTCGAGACAGCCAGCAACAGCAGCAGCGCGGCGCGGCAACAGCAGCACCAGCAGCATGAACAACAAAGCCAGCAACAGCAACAGAAGCAGCAGCAACAACAGGCGGAACAGCAACACGACCAGCCGGAACTGCAGCAGGGCCAACTGCAGCAAGGGCATCAAGAGCAACAGCAGCAGGAAGCAGAGGGACGACAGCCTGTTGCGTCACTCGTGTGCAGTGAAGGAGCCAACGATAACTCGAAGGAGGAGCAGCAGCAGCAGTAGCAGCAGCCGCTGTAGCAGCAGCAACAGCAGGAGCAGCACAAAGGTCTCTCATCTGCAGCGATAAGCAAACACAAACGTATGGAAAGGCTGGCCTGCTACATTTATTGCTGTAGTTTTTTGCTGCGGCTGCTGCAGCAGTAGGTGCAGCAAAAGCTGCTGCGGCACTTACAGCAGGCATTTCAGCCGCCACCATGCTGCTGCTTTTGCTGTTGCTGCTGCTGCTGCAATAATTGCTGCATCAGCTACAGAGTAGGATTGCAGTCGTTTTCGTCTCTGAATGTGTGTTGGCAACAGGGATAAGCAGCGGCAGCAGCAGCTGCAGAAGCAAAAGCAGCAGCATCCCCTGTGTTTTGCTGTTTGGCTCGGACCAGACTTCTCGAGGTCCGCCTAACTCCGCTGCTGATGCTGCAGCTGCTCCAGCCGCAGGCTGCAGTCATGGCTTCTGTCAGCGCTGCTGCCCGACGAGTCCGTCTAGCTGCTGCAGCTGCACTGCACAGCCAGTGCTACAGCAGCAGCTGCTGCCCCTTGGGTGTTTGGCTTCCCCACCCTCCTCGTTTTTGCTGTTTCCTCCCTAATGGGACAGAGCAGTCTCCTGTACGGTGACAAGGCAGAGGTGCATGCAAGGCGGCAGTTCAAATGTAACTCAGCTGCGCGCGGCTCCTGCGGCTGCAACAACAGCTACAACAACGGCAGCGGCAAAAACAGCAGCAGCAGCAACAGTACCAGCAGCATCAATATCTGAAGGCACTGCAGCAAAGCAGCACCATGCACCGTCACAAGAAGAAACTGCAAACGACAAAAAACATTTAAATGTGGGGATACGCTCATGCAAGCAAAGAGAAAGATGCAAGAAGGCAGCATTAACACATACAAACGCAGAGTTGCAATCCTTAAGGACCTCCACAGGCACCATAACAGAAGCAGACACCGAACGAACCAATGCACTGGCACGAGCAGTCGAATGGCTTATATTCATTTAAGTGATGCAATGTATGCAGCACGCAGCTGTTTAGAGGGGTGTGGGGCCAGCTAATCCGGCACACCGAACTGCAGAGCAAAGGGGCGTAAGGGGACTAAGAATAATAATAATAATAAGACAAAGAAAAGCAAAACACAAAGAGAGGCACAGAAAAGGATGGAGAAGAGTACTTCAGGAGTATACAGCGCCAATACAATCGGCGTTCTCTTACGAAGAGGGAGGGAGGCGAGCGAAACCAAACGCTATCCACAAACCCTTCGTTTGCATTTTAGAAGGGCTGCTGGTGCCGCTGCTGTTTCTGCTGCTGCTGCTGCTGCAGCAGAAACAGTTGCTGCTGCTGCTCATGCTGTTGCTAGTGCTGCTACTGCTGCTTCTTCTGCTGCTGTTGCTGCTGCTGTTATAGATACTGCTAGTGTAACCGTATGTAGCCCTTCGTCGGATATTAGCGAACGGCAGGCGAAAACAACTCACCTCACGCCACTGTGTGAAGACATAGACTCATTAGAAGCACAAGACAAGAAGTGGCCCCCATGGGTGGAGAACCTGGCTCTGTTTACCTCATTGCAATCGCAGTTTGGGTCTCAAGGTCAAAACTGCAGACGTAGTGGCAATGCGTTTGCGCGTCCATATGCATGTATATATATATATATATATGCTGAGTCTTTTATTGTGGGCTGTCCCCGAAGAGAGCGCTCTCTGGAAAGGAAGCGGGAGGAAACATTTGGTGAACATTTGAGAGGGCCGAAGAGGAAGTGTCGAGGCGTTGGAGTCCGTCGACCTACGCACAACAGCAAATAAGAACAGCGGAGGCGCTTGTGCATATTAGCTTAGAGTTGTCAGCCATAGTCTGAGTGAAGTCGCTGAGTATCATGTCTATAATAATACGGGTGAAGGCACGGGAGGGCACATACTTGATGTGCGTTACTTGAGGACGAACAGAAACAGTTTGCCTGCGCCTACAAAAAACAAACGAGAGAGGGCCTGCAGGTGAAAGGAAAAGAGAATAAATCGTATATTGGTCGAATTATTTATTGTTCAGTTTCCTTTATACCCGGCTGCGTTGGCGCTGTCTTCACCTCTTCTGTTTTCGCTAGCGAACGAAAACCGACCTTACTGCCACCTACTGACGTCGGGCTATGACAGTTTTTCAAAGTGACAATTGGGCACGTTGAGGCTGTCAATGTTTGCGGATAAGTTCAGTACTTCCTCTGAGAGAGTGGGGAGGAAAGTAATGCCCCACTGATTGTGAAGACAGCCGAAAAGGTATACAGCAGTTAACAGGTAGGGGCTGCAGCACGTCCCCACGCATACGGGCGGACTGTTCGTGGCAGCTCATGAAGAAGTATAGCTCAAAAGCAAGCAATTCCCCTGAAGCGCATAATCCTTAGGGTCAGGCACTATGGCTACTGGCGCAAAAGGAGGGAGAGAAATGGAAGCAAAAACGGTTAGCGCGGTGCATTCGTCCATCTCAGCGCAAGCAGATGTCAAAATTGCTGTTGTCGTTGCACCCTTCAAAGAGGGGCTCTGCCTAATACGTTTTGCCAGCAGTTCACACAACTTGAAAATTTTAAAAGTGCATTTATGCACCAGATGTACAGCTGTTCGTGTAGCTCCGTTTTGCTGTTTTCCCGCAGTGCAGGTGCAGGTGGTGCAGCTTTCAGCTGAACTAAGCGACGAAAGAACAGCCCGTTGCTTTCAACAACTACACCCTTCTGCCAGGCTTGTTTGAATGAAAGCCGCACATTGCAAGCAGCGTAACCAAGAGAGACGCACAGGAGTCACTATCCTGTTCTTGCATGTAAATAGATCCATAGATTCAAGTTTAAAAAGCGGTATGGGCTGGTTTCAACGGCTCACAGGAGGTCGCTTTCAGTCCTTCTGCTGCAGTGTGTTTCCAGAATGAACGCTTAAGAGATTACTCTGTGTACCTTCGCGTTGCAGGAGAAGAAGGTAAGTAGTGTTGGAGTCCCCACTGATCAGTTGTTCGGTCATGATTGTTGCTCATGCCACTTGCCTGCTGAGTACTACAGCACACAATTTTTCTCTTGCATTTCTTATGCTGTCTTCACTCAATTCAACCAAATGAGCCTTGCCTTTTCAATGCTTCACTGCTGCAAAAGTCGAGCGTTCTTCCACGGCCATACATAATTTGCAACCAGATTATATTTTTCCATATCTTAGCAGGCAGATGAAGGTCCAGGTAATTATCATTCTTGTTATTTATCCTGATGGAAACAACTGGAAAGACTGAAGTAAAAGACGTTGCTGCTTCAACCCCACATCGGGACCGCCGCGATGTGCCACTCAGGTAGGGTGATGGTGGCCACCTGCGGGCAGAGCGAGTTGCGAATGGGTAAATAAATGGGGTGTTCCACGAAGCGAACTGGATTTTGTCTATACCATATTATTAATAGGCTTTTGCATCGAATGATTGCTACTTTCGGCGCTCTGTTCGCTGCAAAGCACCAGCCGTCGGTGCACGCCGAGCAGCACAGCGGCAGCGGCTGGGGCTCGAAGTCCTTGTCGTTGGGCCGCTAGGGGAAGTAGAGGCTTGAAACGAAGACCGCTGCCAGAGCTCCTTGCAATTTAAACAAAATTTAAATTATTTCAATGGAAAGTTCAAGCTTCTGTTCTCTTTTTCAACCCACAACGCAGGCTGCAGGTGCTGACTGCCCGGCGCCGCTCCACCCAGCCGTTGTTGCCTCCTCTGTCAACACCGCTCTGGCAGTGGAAAAGCAGTTGCGTCTCATCTCTACGACCAACTAATATAATTTAATAGTGTGTCCTTTTTACAGCTTGAATAGAGGGCCTCTCGGAGAACCACACAGGAGGCGCCACCGCGGAGGTGACCCCGCAGTGTTGTCAACTCCGGTCCTCAGCCTGCGTGGATCTCAAAGAATAAGTATGAATGCGCGTGAATAGGTGAATATGTATATGCATGTGCATGCTTGTACTTAGGCGTATACACGCTTGCAGATGCTTGTGCCTGCACCGCACACACTGGGATAATAAGTCTTCATCCGGGGAGTTCCCTCCAGAGGTTTGTCATCTCAGAAGAGGTCCACCGAATTCCACCCTAGCTGAGGAGTCTCTGCCGCTGTTCTCGCTTGATGCCCCAAGCTGAGCTGCTCCTTTTAGCCTGCCAACTCGAGTTCGGGATTTGGCGCTGAGCGTTTTTCCGGTCTCCGGCTTGAAAACTTGAGAAATGCCGCCTCCGGCGAACCCTGAGATTTCTGACTGTTCGTCAGACCTCAGCTCAGAGCTCTCCGATGAAGATGAGACGAAGGAAGATGAGGACAGAGTTCCCCTTGAACAGTTTGCCACCAATGAACAATTCGCAACAACACTCGAGCTCTTGCAGCTACCCCCGGCTGAGAGAAGCAGAGAAAATGTAAAGCACGAGCCAGCAGCCAGCAAGCTTGGTTCCTTTTGGCTAGCTGCTGAGGAGCGCATGGCTCTTCAGAACAGGCAGCGCCAGTTGCTTTATATATGAGATGGGGCATAGAGGCCTAACGGCTTGAAAGGGTTCTAGCAGCTTGGCTTTTCCTCACTCACAACGTCCCAAGCCTTAGGGATAAAGTCCAGATAGTTGATCATGACGGGACAAGCGTTGGAACAGGCGCAGACTACCTGAGGAGTTGCAAAATTTGGAAAGCAGCGGCTCCGTTCCTCGCACGTGCACTTTCCATATTTAGCTCTGGCATTGGCGCCCTATTTCCTCCTAATGCAAGCCACTGCGGCATGGAAAGGCCTCTGCTACTCCATGAACTCTGGGGGCCTTGTGGTGCTGTAGTGTGTGTACAAACAGGTGGAGTGCATCTTTGACTTGGTGCGGGATAACAAATTCTTCGCTGAGTTGGATGCGGAGATGTCCTTAGAGCTCTGCCGACACATGACTTACACCACTCTGAAGCGAGACAGAGTAGTGTTCTATAAGGGAGACCCAGGTGAGCCTCCCTTGACTTTGTCTCCTCTTTCTTATATTCCTTTTTTTTCGCCGAGCGATCAGGACCCCCAGTTAGGCCCCTTAAGGCAGTACGAGAATAGCACTGCAGCTGTGGTTGCCTGCAAAGAACTAGAACCTTGCATTTAAAGTACTGAAACAGCGTCTTGGAGATGAAGTCAAGAGACCTGCGCTACGCATACCGCACGATTCCCACGAGAGCAACTGTGTGCCCTTCATGGGTCTACTTCAGCCGACAACTGGTACCTCATTCTCGCGGGCAAGGCTGGGGTGTATATTGAGGAGCTAAAAGATGTGCCGGAGCGCGAAACAACTGATCAGGGGGACTCGTCGCCAAAACAGGGACAGGGTAATTCCAAACCGTCCCAGTAAAGTCTTTGTTACCCCCGGCAAAACGCCGCTTCCCTCTGATGGCTTTGCGCAGGGGTTCCTCCTTAAGCCGAGTGCCGTCAAAGCAATCTACTTTAACAGTTGCCTCCCATGCAGCCCCTTAATAGGCATGAGTTGACACCAGTGCATCTCTGCTTCATCTGCTTAGCAACACCGGACGGATGTGTTGTTGCCTGAAGCCGCCAGTGAGATTCCACGCGAGAGGCGCGTGGACAAAAACAGCTGCGTGGCTGTACTTGGCGAAGGCCATTCCTTTGGAGAACTTGGCAAGTTCATGTGCTCCTGGCATACTGTACCTGAGCCTTCCCTTTCTTGCGACTCTGCCCTGCAGCTGAGAGAAGAAGAGCAGCGCCAGCAGATGTGCAGACTCACATGCGCCGAGGCGATCGGAGCATTAAGGAAATGCTTGTTTAAGGCGCTTGGGGTCTTCGTCATAATTCAGAAACATCACCAGCGAATGCGAAACGCCTAAAAGCAGCTGCTTCCAACTGAGGTGCTTTTTGTTTTCTTACGTCCTAGGGCTAATCCGCAACGACGTGCGTTCGGCGGCGCTGGTGACCCACAGCGACTCTCTTTTTCTCACATTGGACAAGAAATCATTTCAACACTGTCTCGGCAACTTTTTAAAACAAAAAACGGATGACAAGGTGGGACGGACAGCTTCCGTCGTCAGTCTGTGTTAGTAAACGCTGCATGGAGGTCTTTAATTCTTCTGTCAGTTTGCCCTTCCTTAATGACGCCTCGACCCTAACGCATGGACCCTGTACACACAGAATGCAGTGCAGCATTTTCTGTGCATGCTGCCTAGCTGATGCTTTGGCGACGACGGCATTGAGAGCCTAGTGTATACCCTGAGCATGCATCTTGGGGAGCCAGATTGCCTGGGTTTTCTTATCTCAGTTTACTGCTCTTAGAAACCGTTCGCTCTATGCTGCAACCACGCTCTTTGTGTACCCTTCGTCTTTTGCAGGTTCAAACTCTGCGACAGGTGCTGCCTGGTGCCAAAGAACTTCGCAAGCTGGTGGTGGAGCAGCTCACTTATTTCTTTAAAGAAGCTACTCTGCAGAAGGACGTACCGCTGAGCACAGAGGGAAACAAGGAGGATACACTTTATCTTATTGTCAAGGGTAGGCAACTCACTTTGCTTGTGCGCCAGAAACATGCATGCTTTGCACTCATTTGGCCACAAGAAGCCAGGAGCGCAAAAAAGAGCATTGCGCGCGAATATTCAGCGGCACAGGGTAGCTACAGCAGAAAGCAGAAGCTGCCAGTTAGATCATGCTGAAACCCACCCGCTCTGCTGCATTGTCCGCGACGGCGCAGGCGAGTGCGTTCTAAGGACACGACGACGGTGGGGTCATTACTGGCAGCAGCAACAGCCTTGGTGGATGAACCAGAACACAACGCACGCTAGAGTAAGGGGCAGTATCCCACTTGACCTGTTATTGTTTGCTGTGCGTCTCTCTCGCTGACACTGTAGAAGATATATCGGCGATTTTCATTCAATCTGCGCTGGAACATCAGAGGGTCAATCTGCCGTGACTTCCATCAGTCAGTGAGGGGGAGGGCACCACGCAGCACCGGGGGTTAGGAGGGGAAGGAGATCGTATGCAGGGCACTAGGCTGTAGGGCACTGTCTGGGACTGCAGCAAATTCAGCACTAAGTGCAGGGCCACTGTGTTGAGTAAATAGATTACGACTCAGTAGAGATGGACACGCCGTCCAATTCCACTTTTTCAACCCAAGGCATTCGGGGGGCTTCGGGCCAAGTAGAGAGGGAAGGAAGAATTGCCTTTTGCGATGCTTAAAGGCCAAGTGGTCTCTCGAGCCCTCCGACAGCAGCGTGACAAAACCGTAAGCCTTTTGATTCCTTCTACCCCTTCCTCACGGATGCAGTGCACGTCGCCTTCCGCACACACAATATTCCCTGAGTGCAACAACCACAGCAACGACAGCGCCCGTCGCCTGCAGTACATCTCAGTTCGCTATTCACGGCACCCAAAGAAAGATGCAACGCCCCCTAGCATCTACAGCATGCGCAACTTGCACTGAACCCCATACTTTCGGGCCCAGGCATCTCGATTGGACGCTGGTATCCTTGAGAGCTCGGATGGAGGTTGTTGCATCGCGTTCAGGTGCGAGACAGTAGCCGTCCCGCCACAGCGGGGAACCGCACCAACACCTCGCCGCCCCCACCCGGCGCCAATATTGCGTGGAACCAGGACAGGGCAGTGTTGCCTGAGCCGAACATTTCCCCCGGGAATGCAACGAACTCGCCAGCCTCTGTGTTGCTAGAAGAGTTGGACTTGGCGCTACTGCAGGAAGGGTGCATAGTCAACTTCTGTTCCTTGTTTTTCGACTCCCCAGAGCCCTTTTCTGTGTTTGCCTTCTCCGCGAAGACGCAGGTCTTCTCCATCTCCAAGTCCGAACTGTTTAAGCATATGCCACCCAGTGAGCTACAAGCGTACGTCCCCTTCCAGCTGTACACACCTGTGACTGGCGTTATTGCGGCCAGTAAACCTGCAACGGTGGTGAGCTGAAGAGATGGCATGAACACCGTTCTGTGTTTGCTTCTGCTTAACCACACAGTTCAACTGGCCTTCCCTGCCGTGTGGAATCGTATGTTGGGAACTAAATGACCATTAAACTTCAGCTTCCGTTGTGTTCCGGCTATTCACACGACTTCGAGTTGCACTGAGTCTGCGCCGTCAATCTCCCATGCAGGTGTTTTAGATGCAGTGCGAGTCACTGGGTTGCTGCTGCTACAACATCTGGAGCGCCGCATTGGAAAGCAGGAAGAGCGCATACGGCGGTTGGAACTGCTGCATCAGCGCGATGTGAGACACAGCACAGGGCAGCACGCATTTCCATGAGGCATTCTGTTCGCTACTTGTATATGGCACCAGCTGTTGTCCTGTGCAGGCCACGCAAAGCAGTGGTGACTTCGCATCGACAGAGAACAATGGAGGTGCTGGGGAAGCATCGACCGGGACGAACGGGTTTCTGCTGCCGCTTACTTTTTCGCCGTTTCTATCGGAACAGATGGGAAAGTACATTGATGCATCATCAATATCCCTAGCCAGTATGCCATTTCCCGTACTCCTGGTTGCTACCCACATGCGAAACATGTCCAGGCTGTATGGGGAAAGTGGTATGGTGATGGGAGAGTGTTATGGGGGCGCTACAACCGCTAATATGTTGTATCGTTCGCCTTTAGGCTACTGCGGCGTGCTTCTGCAGAGGGGGCGTTACAGCCGCTAATATGTTTTATCGTTCGTGCGCCTTTAGGCCATTTCGATCGATTTACTCGAAACCTTCTTTGCTTTCAACCGCATACGGCGGTGCTTAACCACGCCACTTTCCAGCTTTTGCAGCAGCAGAAGCAACGCCGAACGCAGCGGCACCAAGCGGCTTCATCGTCCACAAAGGGCGAGCTTGGGCGCCCCAACGCCCACGAGCAGGAGCAAGCGTCTGCCACGCCACCAAGGAGTCCTGTGCCTGCAGACTCCGAAGGTATATCTGCTGTTCCGGCTCCTCAAGCCGAATTACCTGCGGATACAAAAGGGACTCCATACTGCTGCCTCCCCAAACAGCAGCATTCCCAAGGATTCCATGGGACACTTGCTATTTCCCAAAGGCCTTCGGAAGCCAAGCCCATTCGGGTGGCACTCCATGGAGAAGAGCTTCACCAGGGGGAGCCACGGCCGCGTGAAGCCCCCACCTCCTCGTGGGGATCCTCCCCTGGGGGCGCTTCGGCTTCTTTCAACATTTTTAGGCGCCGGTTTGCTAACACCCGTACAAGGCTGGCAGGAGAAGGAACTCCCACTTTGACCGCTGGCGGCGCTGGGGCCAGTTGCAGCACAAAGCCTGCGGACGGCTCAACCAGCCCTGAACTGGTGGGTAATGCTGACGCGCATGCATTGGCGGAGGCGATTGCCGCAAGAGAAGCTGCTGCATGCGCCGCTTCTGCCCTTGCTTTAGGACACCCCATTGTTTCAGATTCTGGTGGGTCCTCTGGATAGCCGTAGCCAGCTGGTGGAACGTAAGACAGTCGAAAAGCAGCCTGCATTAATTGGGTTTACATGGCTCCTAACAACACCAACAAGGAAACTGGACTTAGTGTACTAGAAGAAAGTATCCTACATCCTCTGCAACTGCCATGCTGTCCTTCCCCATCATATAGTAACAAACAACCACTTTGGCGATAGGCCCCATTTACCTGCACGTGGGCATACACAACTGTTCCTTGATTTTGGGAGGGCTCTAAGGGTGCAGGGAAGGGAGCTCAATGCTGCGCAGTGCGCCTCCACGATTGTGGCCGCACAGAAGCTGGGTCAATCAGCTTTCAGCCGTTTATTTGCAGCCCTCGAGTTCTTCTTCCGAAACATTAGCAGAGACGCAGTGAACATAAACAACAAGTTCTGCTGCCAATATCAAAGTGAAGCTCAAGTGAGCGCGACTGCCTGACCCTCGAAAAAGATAGGCTCAGTTTCAGAGTGCAGCTGTTTGGAAAGGCTTTTCGCTAGGGCTCCTTAGGGTCTTCTAGCACCACCCCATTACACAGATGGTTACTCCTGCTCAGGATTATTTTACTTTTTTAGCTCTAGGGAGTGTCTTCATGAACATTTTCACGCATGAAGTTCCCCATCAGTTACGCCCGGAGTATAGAAAATCTCAGCTGTCTATCACTACTCGACCTGCTGAAAAGCTTCATATCCTGCTGTTCAGGTGGCGCTGCAGCGCGCTAAACACTTCCAGGCTACCAAGCTGGAAGGCGCGCACCCCACCAAAGGTCACCCACAGTACGATTCTCACCAGGAGGCGCAAGGGAGTGTTACACCGCGGCAGCAAGATTCCACCGTTAAACAACGAGGGACTGTAGCAGTACCACCGATTAAAACGTTGGGTGCCTGGCCGCCTCCAGCTACGCAGTCCCTGGGTCAACTCCTTTCACCAGGCGGTCGCAACAACATGAAAGAGAGATATGCTCCAGCCACCCCTTCAGCAACTCCGCTCCGCCAGAGGAGAGTTTCAGTACCATCTAGCGGAAGCAAGACAGCACGGGAGCTTCCTGATGTTTTAGTGCAGCAGCAGCGGCAGCATCACCAGCAGCTTTTGGCTAGGAGCGCGGAAGTGCCGTATCTTCATCTGCTACTCCAGACACCGGAAGCGTACCGACAAAAAGATCGCGGAGTATCACTGAGAGGAATGGCAGCAGCCATGCAGGCAAGTGTTGCTATGCAGCGTTGTCAAATGCACCGATAATGCTCTGCCGGGCAGAGCAAATGCATACTTACGATGAGCCAGTGCGTGGTGCCTAGCAAAAATGACTAACGTGCATCCACTTAGCCCATCCAGGCATTCAAAAACTCCAGGAGCCTAGCACATCAAAACAGTCCTAAGTGCTTCATCGGAAACCTCATTATATGCTGCCGTTCAGTTATTCTCAGCAAGCGTGCAACAGAGTTCAGGAAAGTCGGCATTGCAGGCAGGTGAGTGGAGCTCGGCAGCCAAATTTTAAGCGCGTTGCACTGTTCTGGTGAACTCATAAGCAGTCTATCCCCTTTTGCCGCCTCCCCCCTTTTGAGGAAAGCGCCATTCCAAAATGAAGCACCTCACCAACTTACTGTAACTTTTTTCTCAGATATCTGCGAAGTCCCCAGGGGTGCATCAAACTACACTAGCCGCCGTATGCTCGCGCAGCAAGTGGCATTGCGGCTGCAAAGTCAACGCACCGAAGGTGTGTAAAACTTTGTATTTTTAGTCAGGTATGGCTAGCTTCAATCGCTGAGGTCTCAGCCAAGAGATATTTCGGCTCGTTCCCAACAGTTTCACCGGTTTCAGGCAAACTCCGCCTTCGATGCTGCCTGACTCATTCCTGTTTTCGACGCTAACCAGTCTTTTAGAGTAATTTTTAAATTAGTTTTTGGTTTACCTCTGATGCCTTACGATTAAGTTTGGCCAGTAACATGCGGAACCTTGTCGACAATTTGGAGACTTCACTACTCCTTTCTGTCAACGTAAAAAGAGCAGACTCAGCCAACTGCAGGGAGTCAAAAAAAAGCGCTCCAGCTAGCCTCATCCCATTGCAAGCGCTGGGCCAGATTAGCCAGCACGCAGCTCTTCTGTTGCATCATTCGTATAAAGTAACTTAGCTTGTAACAGGGGCTTATCGGAACAAACAGATTCTCCAGATTCGGCTCAATTTCCCTGAACAAGTAACTGTGGGGCACCACTCTACTTCCCTTCGGCAGGCTATCTTGTCTTGGCGAGCCATCCTTCTCTTCCAGGCGCAAGGTACAGACGATAATCCCCTCATGGCGTACTGTGCACTTTCCCTAGACAAAACAATTCAACAGGTCGCAAAGGCCTAGGAACAGCCCCAACTTGTGACGGGCTGTTCCAGATGTAGGAAGACTACCTCTACTCCGTAGCTGTTTCCTACACCTTGTCTGGGGCTTTTGGTAGGGCTTTGGGGTTTTCGTTGTTCTACGAGCACTTCCCTACAAAGTAACCACTTCTCTAATCCCTTCGGGCAATGAAGTCTTGTATTTAATGTAAAGACCACTCTAAGCTGGAGTACAACCAAAGTAGCCGAGAAAGGACGTTGCCCTAAGGAAGCTCACCCTCGTCCACTACTGACGGAATCTGCGCACAGTGCCTCAGTGCCTCAAGGACCTAGGCAAAACACACACACACACACACACACACACACACACACACACACACACACACACACATACACACACACACACACACACACACACACTCACGAGAGGCAGTGGGCGTAGGGGCCAGAACAGCTGCATGCTGAGCACAGTATACCTCACCCTAAACGTTACATTTAAATAGAAATACCATTTAAACAGACGAAAATGGGGCGTGTGGCTTGCTTGACCCCTTTGCTTCACGAAGCATTGGCGATGTCTGTGCGAGATAGCTGGATTATTCCACCCCATAGACGGTTCCGGTGAGCTGAAAATTTCTCATAGTTCGAGTATACAGGATATGTTTGGCGCGATCTCGCTTTGCAACTCCTCATGGATGGTCTGGCCGTTAGTGCGCCGATGAATTTTGTGTGATGTTCCTGCTCGCTAATGGGCTGCCATGCTGCCGCATTCCCCCGGAATAAAAGCCATACCACCAGAAACTCTTAGTCTACACCCTGGAACCAGCTTGACAGCGAATTCTAGACCTCATACTTAACATTGGAGACTTTTCTGTCTCCGCCAGTAGTATGTAAACCTTCACACTGCACCTCCCCTTGAGCGGATCGCTTGCCGCTCTGCAATACGGACACCCACAAGGCGGGAAGCTATTGTATTAAAGGGCCAAAAGCTGGACTAGATGCAGCCGTCGCATCTTATCTAACTTTGAAGTCCCACAGGAAGCGGAACTAACATTCTGTTGTTCGTGACTTCTCGAGAAGACACGTTCAGAACGAAAACGCTTGCCCTCCTTCATACTGGAGTTCTCTTTTCTCTTGCCTGGGGCTGCTACTTTCTCCAGCCGCCGCTGTCGGGATATTGGCCACTGCCAGATCCACCAACTGAGTGGAAAATATCGTGCGTGCCAGGCGATGTGCTTTGGGCAAGCTCTTCAAAATGATTGATTTGTTGCGCTTAGCGGATTTCCCTTGGCCGGCAGCTTAAGGCGGCCACGGCCATTCACCCTAGCAGAGCCCTTGTTAGGGAGGCCACGTGCAGAATGCAAAGCCTCCCACGCTTGCTCGCCTAGCTGAATACCGCATAGCACTTCTTCCAGACTCCGGTGCGCTCCCCCTGCCTGGGCTTCTGTCTGGGGACACCAGGCGTTTGCTGGATAATTCCTCCCGTAACTCTGAAACAAAATACACAACGCAACCGGCGGTGAAGCAGTATGCAGTCCAAGTTAACGCACCAGCGCGTCTGGTAGAATGCTCGAGAGTGGCGGCCGTTGCAGTTTCCCTCTTTGCCGTACCCACCAACGTCCTCAGCCTGCTCTAATGACGACTAGGGAATCTTTTGCCCATTCTGTTCATATTGGCACCAATGGCAGAACTGCCGCAGGCTACGCTTGGATTGCTGTGGATGTTTCTCGGGGATGCCCCCACAGGACTATTTACATCGTCAGGAACTTGTTGCCAAAAAATATGCCCCATTGTGTAGCCTCTTTTCGGGGGATCATGCGGGCGGATCGTACATGACATGCAGGGGCAAGGTGCATTTGCCCGAACCCAGAGGATGCAGTGCGTCTGGCATCACACACAACAACGAATTTGGCGGATTTTGAATTTATACCGCTTTCACTGCTGCGAAGCGCTGATTGTGATCTGGAGCAAGTATCGAGGCTGCTGCTCGAGCAGTTCGGTGAAACGTCATTCACCATCAAACCTTATCTTCAACTCGTGAGCTTTCTCCCCGCTGTGCCTAAATATAGGTGCATGTGGGGAAGATAGATGTCCCCCTGCACCCCTCTGCTGCATGCAAAAGGAAGCAGCACTCGATGACTTCTGCTGAGTGAGCTCCCTGCGTCATTGATGCTTTGGCATATCCGGGTGACTATATGGGCATTTCGAGATAGCACTGGCAACTACGAGGGCGGCTATAGGCCGGTGCTTGAGATCGTTAAAATCTGTCAGAGGTCTCAACTATCCAGAAGTGCGTGACCAAAAAGACATCGCCGCCTTCACTTTCGTTAGGTAATGCAACGACTTCTGTGCAGTGTAAGGTGATATGGAAATTTCCAGCAGGAGCCGTTGCGACGTTGCCAAAGTTCCGATTAACGTAAGGATCCTGTGTTATGCATGCCATAGCAGTCGCCAGTTGCTGCCATCCTTATGCCCATGCACTCCAGTTGTTTGGCGTCAGGCTTCAGCCCGTCGCAAGCTGCGCGCCGGGACGCATCTCTACAAGGGAGATAGGCTTCTCTGAGTCAACAGCCTGTACACAGATATTGTTACAAAAAGTGCTTGATTGCCTTGGCCGCTGTTGCTCCCCTTACCGTCTTTGCGACGAGCAGATCCATCTTCGTTAGTTCATCG